CTTACTCTTCCTATAAGAGAATAGTAAGGAGTGGTTAGAGGGATACAGATTGAAACGGGAGATTTTTTAATATATCCTTTCAATATCTTCTCAAAACGAGCTTCATGGCCAACTTTCTTGTAAGAGGAAAAAAATGACAGATCATTGCTCTACACCCAAACCTTTGTGCCTTTGGCTGTGAAAATAAAACAAAATAAAACCACACATTAGTTGAATCATTTTTCGAATGGTATTAATGAATTCTCAGCGCTCATGCTCTAGGACAGTTCCCATACGAGTCAAGATCGGTACGACATGATCAATCAACTACCAATGAACCTGAACCTTCGCGGGGAGAAAGGAACTCTCAAGAACATTGATCATGCTGTACCGATCTTGTACAAAGGCAAAGGTTTAGGTGTAGATCAATGATCTCTCATTTTTTTTTCCTCTTACAAGAAAGTTGGCCATGAAGCTCAATTTGAGAAGATATTGAAAGGATATATTAAAAAATCATCCGTTTCAATTCATATCCCTCTGACCACTCCTTACTATTCTCTTATAGGAAGGGTAAGTTTTTGCTTATTCTTTTTTATATGGTTTCAGTTTATTTTATTTTCTAATTCAGTTTATCTTTTCTATTCATCGGAAATCTACAATCCGACATCGGAAGAACTCAAAGAAAGCGTAAGTGGGTATATATTGCTTGCAATCGGGGCCGGGATTGATTATGCGGGGCAAGCTTTCTTGGAGTGTCAAGACTCCTGGGGCATAGAGAGGGGCAAAGATGGTTATGTGCGTATCGCACTTGGATGCGGTTTGATTACCTTTTTCTCTGATTTACGTTTGGGAGAGATTTTTTACTTGTTATGATGGCAGTGTGGTGATATATCTAACTATATACTCACTTATACAAAAACACATGGAATAGATAATAGTGAACTATTCGTAAATATAACAAGTATAGTTGACTGTTTATGAAGAAAATTATCTGTAAAGATAAGTATATTTAGATACATAGTTAACTATATTAATAGAAATGAAAACTCTAGATAAATATAATTGGATACATATTTAGCTACATATATATAAATATGTAATTAATAGAATTAAAAACTCTAAACGTTTATGATGTTGGTGATTTTTTTTTTAATAAGACAACTTTTTTTTTATCTTTAATGTTTTTTTGAATATAAGAGAGAGAAAATATATATGAAATAAGGAATGTATTAAATTGAATGATAATGAAAATGAGATATGATATTACTTACCATAAATACATTAAATGTAAAATTGGAATCTTACATAATTACAATGTTAGTTTCTTTATTTCATTTTATGTGATATTAGTTAATTAAATATAGAGTTAATAAGTAATATATAACCTAATTTCCCATTAAAAAATTAGACGAATGCAAAAGAAAGAGGGAGAGCGGTGACGAGTTTACCTTTCAATCAGGGGCTGCAAATGGTTGGAGAAATGATCAATAGGAAAGAATCAATATGGTTCAATTAGAAAGAAAAAAAATTGTTGGCAATTC